AAAGAGGTGAGTGCTATTGTTGCTAGCATTTAGAAATTGTCGTTTTTGGTTGAACACATAAAGGCCTTTTGATGAGGACTGGGAACAAATTAATCTGGTCGCAACATAAACTTTGTGTGAGAAAAAAAAAATATTCCCTAAACTTTAACACTACAATCTACACATACACACCACATTTGTTTTACACACGTAGCATGATTTGACCTCGGTAACACAGTTCAACATTGGCATTGTCAACTTTTCATAGGCAGTTGATTCATTCCACGTCCTCAAAATGTCATGTAAACATGTTTCTAATTATGATAGGGAGATTATGATTTTAGTGAGTGTTTCTTACCTCTCACAGTATTTGCCCTCATATCCCTCAGGACAGGCGGTACATCTGTAGTCATCGTATCCCTCTGTTACACACGTTGGACTGAAACTAGACATGGAAAGATTTCCACAGAAAAAGCTTGTAAATACTTTCAAAATTGCAGCAAAAATTAGAAAGGAGAATGACCAATATAACCAATATAACTATGTGATACACGATTGATACAACATCCTTTGAAATTCTCGCCCTTCTAAAAAAAAGATTAATCAGTGAAGAAGTTTACTTGTTCTCTGGGTTGGTGAGGGGACAGGCGCAGGGTTTACAGTCGTCATGGAAACCTCGGACCACACCATAGAAACCCGCAGCGCAGCGCTCACACTGATCGCCCTCTGTGTTGTCTTGGCACTTCTACACACAAAAAAAGAAATGAATGTTACATTTGTGAAGATATTGCATCGTCTTTCATTTATTCTCCAACCCTACCATGACTCTAACCCTGGTGTGTGTGGATGTTACATTTTCCCATCATCCTCAGCTCTTGGCGTGTATGCAAAATGTGACCGTGTGAGCAGCTGGACCATAATTACACAAAAAACCCTCATTCTGCTTATCCTCAAAAGCTTTTCATCTTTAAACTAATTTTAAAATTAAATTAAGAGCACACTTTCATCTGCATGTTGTATTTGAATATTGCCACTGGCACAATGAAAGCGAGACACCAGATTTGTTTGAGCATAAAAAAATATATATATATTGGAGGAAATTATTATAATTCTTAAGCAGTGTACAATCCCTTGTATGTGTCTACTCGTCTCAATTTGACAATGAGTAATTGAAAAGACGACAGACGGGGTCACCCGTCACCCACTCCTTATACCGACAAAGTGGCATAGGCTTGTTTTTTGGCAAGTGAGATAATTATCCTGGCACCGCTGGTTGATTTACACCGAGATTAGATGACGCTATAAAAAAGAAAAATAGTGGCATGCTGGTACTGTTACCCGCTGTCAGTTCACTTAACAATTGTGGATAATAGTAGCCGTTTTAATCACTGGTGTGCTTCGCTGTAAGGTGGTACACTCATTGTCAGTGACACAAAAAGTGATTTCAGTTTCAATCTCCTCCAAGCTGTATGTTCCCCTAGATTTTCAGACAAATAGATGAAAACAACTAACAATCAGGTGACTTTTTGTTATCCAGGAGAAAGTTGATTGAGCGGCTGCTGTTTTTACATGCATACAGATTCACACATAGGCTACACTGTCACTGGAAAGTACCTGGTGTGATCGCAGCTGCTTCTGCGGTGCCGAGCATCGCAAGCAGCAGGGGGAGTGGTTGTTCATTTCTTTTTCACCTCCTACAGTTTCTAAACCATTCTAGGACCTTCACACACACACAGGCATATCTAGCCTGGACTATTTCTGATAGAAAATGTAGTCGACACAGTAATAAATGTCTTTTGGGCTCAGTTCCACTCCTGCATGATGAGGTGATGTGAGACTGTGATCAGCAGCGGCTAGCTAGCTGTTAGCCGCCAGCTAGCTGTTAGCGACAAGAGCGATCTCACACATCAAAGAGTTTCGTAATCCTCCTTTCTCAAAAAAGGTTGGTTTCTGAAGTATTCATTTACTTTTTAAACTGTTTTTAAGGATAGCCACAAGGGTACAATGACAACATAATCTTATCCAAAATATGTTCAGTTTCTTTTCGGTTATGCTTATCACACAATGTTCAAACTAAAACAGAAACACATTACCTTTTTCTGACAGATAGGCTACCATGCAAAAGTGCAGAGTGTTCATATATATGTACAGTACATTTCCACAATATATACACCCTGCATAGAAAAAAGCACAACAATACCCACACATACACACACAGTCATAAAAGCACAAACAATGTACACTCACACAAATATATTATATACTGTACACAAACACGCAGCCCTCTCTGTTTAATATCCCCGGGGTTCAGTCTTATGTGTTCGCCTTGTTTGTTGAAGATGGGAACTTCAATCAGTGGAACAGGAAGTTGCCTTCTAACGAGGCAAGTCATTTCCATTAACTTCCTGTGTTCCTCGTTACCACTAATTACCACAGAAACAAACTCGTTTAGCATTTTCAATTTAGCCCGCTCGGATAGAAAATGCTAATGACGCCGTTATAGAGAGCGAGATGGAAAAGGGCGAGGAATAAATGGCTGGGAGGCAGAGTGAAAGAAATCAAACGCAAGGGAAGTAAGGAGGGAGAAAAACAAATTGGCAGACACAGAGAAATCCGGGAGAGGTGAGAGAGAAAGAAAGGGAGTGCAAAGGGAGATTGGGGCAAAACAATTAGAGAACTGAAGGTATAGAATAAAAATAAACAAGGACGTTACAAGGAGGGAGAGTCAAAGAAGGGGAATGTGTTAGAAAGAGAGAGGAAAAGAGGGTATAAACACAGGAAATAAGCAAACAAAACCAATAAAATAAGGTAGACAGTGCTATTTACACCCGGGCATACATTGGATTATGTTTCTAATCCATTAGGTATTTTTGGAAATGTCCTTAGTCGTTGATAACTAATTGTGAATGTTGCTGTAATTACAAATACATAATTACAAAGCTTTCTCTGGTGTGGTTGAACACATCCAAAGACTTTGAGGTGGAGAACAGCCAACGTATGTATATCAAGACAGCGCTAATACTTATTTACGATTATCATAAATATGATTCTATGTTTGAAAGTTAATGAATTATTGTTTAAATCTATACTTTCAAACAAAATGTCTTTAAGAACAAGATTCAAGCATTTTACATTAGGAATGTTTTTTATGCCTGTAAGTGTTTTTTGATTATGAGTGGAATAAATGATTGGACACTTTACATAATTCCTGATCCTTTTAGTTGTCATGTTTATATGTTCTTCAGACAGTAATCAGTCACACGAGCGAACAACAAATCCCACACTCCACCTAGAGCAAAATAAAATTGAATAATAATTGAGCTACATTGGACACTAGTTGTATTTCTTGTAAACAAATCTGCTTTCCAAAAAGTTGTAATAATACCGCAATTATTAAATGAAGAAAGGTGAGCCACTCGTACTACCTGCAATATTTCAAGTCTTCAGAAAAATAATAATCGTAAAAAAAGGGTATCAATTTTCAGAAAAGGCTCGAAGAGAACGCAGCTGCCAGCATCTTCTTAGAGTTTGTTTACAAGTGTGTATGCCAGATAATTAAATGGGAACTCCAATTTGTCCAAAATGAGTCTCTGAGATGGATTTTTCTGTTTCGGTGTGAACCGTTTTTCTCTGTGGCCTTAAAATCATGGGGAAACAGTGAATTTATGCGAAGTCTGCCAGTATTTTTACAAATCAAATATGAGCGCTGACCTGTGGGCAGCATGTGACCAACTTCTCCCCGGGGTAGAAGTCTTCAAATGGGGAATCAAAACTGACCAGATTGTGAAAAGGCTGGAAGTGACTAACAACTGGCATGTGCAGATTTATCCCACAAGCCACCAGTGTGATGTACGGAAAACAGGCAAGCAGAATATCATGGAAACACACTCTCCAAACATGCAAGTGGTTCTCTTTTCCAAGTGTTTTGCATTAAGTTGACTTGCACTGACTAAATAAATAAAATGTCAGAAGGAAAATAAGAGACATTTCAGAGCATTTAGAAAATCAAAATACAAAAATGCCATTGATCTGTCACTGTTGAGTACATGTTGTGTTACATTTTAAGGGTTGGGTTTCTTTGCCTTAATGTGGTTTAATCTCCTGATAAGACCATCCTCTCCACTCTTTCCAAAAGTGAGGATGTAACTTTGGGTCAGATCCAGAAGAGAGGACATTAAACAAAATATGAATGAGCCCCGGGGTCGTTAATTATTGCAGGGCTAATTACAGAACCTGACATCCCCCCAACACACACACATACACACTTTCTTTCTCTCATCTCACTCTCTTCTCCAGAAACTACCTGGCATATGGCAGTATGAGGGTCTCCAGTGGCCGAGCACACACACACACACACACACACACACACACACACACACACACACACACACACACACACACACACACACACACACACACACACACACACACACACACACACACACACACACACACACACACACACACACATACACACACACACACACACACACACACACACACACACACACACACACACACACACACACACACACACACACACACACACATACACACACACACACACACACACACACACACTTACCTGGCATATGGATGTCTCAGGGTCACAGGTGGAAGAGTGCCCACTGCATTGGCATTGAACACAGCTGCCCATGCCGGCAGCGGTTGGCACTCTGGACGCAGGAGCAGATGCTGTGGAGCCGGAGCGAAGACGGTAAAAACCTGCAGCGCACTCCTATAGACAGAGAGAGAGAGACAGAGAGACAGACAGAGAGACAGGAGACAGACAGAGAGACAGACAGATAGAGAGACAGACAGAGAGACAGACAGAGAGACAGACAGAGAGACAGTCAGAGAGACAGGAGACAGACAGAGAGACAGACAGATAGAGAGACAGACAGAGAGACAGACAGAGAGACAGTCAGAGAGACAGGAGACAGACAGAGAGACAGACAGATAGAGAGACAGACAGAGAGACAGTCAGAGAGACAGTCAGAGAGAGAGGAGACAGAGAGACAGACAGACAGAGAGACAGTCAGAGAGACAGGAGACAGACAGGAGACAGACAGAAACAGAATGAAAGGGAAAATTAGGGTAAACAATTAGATGTAGTTTTTCTGGGGCCCTATTCTGCTCATTCTCAGGTTCATATTTGTATTTTGTGCTTCTACTATGACATGTTACATGCTTTAATGTTCAAAAGGGTCTTTATTTTTCTCATTTCCACCCTCTGTCTGAAACCAGAGCCCAGTCTATTCTGATTGGTTAGCTGGCCGGCTCTGTTGTGATAAGTAAACTGCTCAGAGATGTCCCGCCCCTTAGCCTATCTTGTAAAATGTGTTGGAGCACTAGCCAATAGAAGTATGAGTGTTACATAGTGATGTCATTATGTGATGGAAGGAACAAGAGATGGCATGTGTTCCAGCAGTTATTCCACACTTTGCCGGATATTGGAACACACACACACACACACACACACACACACACACACACACACACACACACACACACACACACACACACACACACACACACACACACACACACACACACACACACACACACACACACACACACACACACACACACACACACACACACACACACACACACACACACACACACACACACACACACACACTCACACACACACTACAGAAATGGACCAACACAATTATCCCTAATTGTTATTTCTCAAGGCAACTGTTGACCACTCCTCTCTCTCGTTCACACACACACCCCCACACACATACAATTAAGAGTTATTCCCTTCAGTAACTTTTGATCACACACATGCACACACCCTCCCAAACCCACTCACTCAACGCACACACACACAAACATGCAGATAAACACGCACACACAGAGGCATGCAAGGTAACTCTCTCTGCCTCTCTCTCCTGTTCAGTAATAATTAATGGAGTCCATTTAAAGAGCCATCTGTTCCCTCTGCTAGCGCTAAACGCCCGTTTAAAAATACTTTATTAACAACGACGGCAGCTACAAATAGAATGGCCATCTGTCAGCCAAGACCTCTACGACCTGAACATTTCAAGTTTAGCTGCCGCTTGATATTTAGCTTGCATTTGGCAGTTTTTCAACGGTATCTGTAGCTCCTAAATTATATACACGGCTCATTTTTTTCAATGGCAATATAGATGTCTGTGCCTCTGCCCTCCAAGTTGCAAACGCCAAAGTGAAACAGAGGTTGAAAAATATAGTTAAAAGATTGCTGCAACTCATGTGTCCCTTTGAGATTAACACAATAATACCTGAATGACTCTCAGGCACCGCCATGCAGCAGAAATTCCCAGAACGGTTGCCTTTGTGTATCATAAGCTGCCACTACAAAATCCTCATTAAACTACAGATTGAGTCAATGCTATATGCGTTCTGTGGCTTAAGAGAAGGAGCTGGACGCAGCTGAAAGTCAATTGCTTTGACAAAATCACAACTGAGTGGAAGAGACTCTCAGTGAGGCTTAATCCTGGCTGAAGAAAAAAAACACATGAGAGTCTGAAAGGCGTCGCAGAGGCTTAAAACTCTGAACTAAATGTAAATTGGAAACTTGGGAGATAGTATTGAAAGCGGAGTGTGTGACCTCCATGTTTACATTCTGAAGGCAGCAGACAGAAAGCACTCACTCCTCTGAAGTACTCTGTAATTCATGTTTGGATTGTTAAATCCTGTTTTAACTTCAATATGAACACTATTTATTTTCGTTTCTGCAATATTAACGCTGTTTTCATGACTTGAATATTATGTATGTTCCAATTTTATGTAGTTTGCTTTCGGCTGCTGCATTAAAGCAATTTCATCAAACTAATTATTACAAACACAGAAAGTAATCTACAGAAAATGTATTGACACAGTTATACGTTGATATTCACTGGCTATATTGCGAAAATTCACCTCATGTCTCCCAGTTTCATCCAACAGGTGAAAGGTGATTTTAGATTTTATTGTAAGAACATTTCAGCTTATCGAAGACTCTTGTTGGCCAATAAAAATAAGAACTTGTAGTACAGAAATGTTCATGTCTTTTTTTTATCAATTCAGTATAGAGAACTTTATTTTGTAGTTGTAAAATAACCTGCTGAGTATGTATCTTAATCACAATTCTATTTAAATTATTTTAGTTTCCTTTAAAATGAGGAGTTTCCAATGGTCGTATTTGCACTTATACAGTTCTGGAAGTTCTTCAAAACGATATTATAAAAAGCTTTTTGAAAATCCTGTTCAAGTACCTGCTGACTCCTGCAACAACTGATAACTGATTTCTAAGGAATACCTTTGGAAAAGTTTTATAAGGACTTCACACGTGTGCAGTGTTGCGTGTGTGAGGGTGTGTTCAGTAGAGCACCCACCTCACAGGAGAATCCGGAGTATCCGATTGGACAATCACACTTCTCTATCTGATGGGCTTTCAAGGTCTCTTTGCTTGGTCTGCCTTCCTCGGCCACCGTCAAACTGAGTTCTGAAATACTGGGGGAGAAAAAGTCATCATTAAGCATCCAATAATACAGTGAAGTATATGATAACAAGTATTTTATTTTGAATTTGTGTTTGTTTTACTAACACTGGTTTGTTGGAAATTGCTATAATTTAGTTACTTGCCTGTCATCATGTCAAAGAGGATACATTACATGTCACTTGTTAGACGCTTTTATCCAAAGCGACTTACATACTCAATACTGTTGGCAATCCCCACAGGAGCAATTTGGGGTGAAGTGTCTTGCCCAGGGACACAACGACATGCTGACTGCAATGGGGTTTGAACCTGTGCTCCCCTGATCCGAACACCAACGCACTACGCCACTGCGCCACACGCCTCCCATGCAGGTATTTTGAACACAACTACATATGATGATTTGCAGAAGGATGTATGACTTTTATTCTGAGATACAAATTAAACCTGTATTTAACACAGGTTATCCTATTTCATATTTAAGTGGCCACGCTGTGTGGAGGTGTATGCCATGCCATGTGTGTGTGTGTGTGTGTGTGTGTGTGTGTGTGTGTGTGTGTGTGTGTGTGTGTGTGTGTGTGTGTGTGTGTGTGTGTGTGTGAATGTCTTCTGCAGACAGAGAGCAGTGAGAGAAGAAGAAAGGATGTCATACTGTATATGTGTATTTTAACTTCTGAGTGTGTGCTTGTACACCTTATTTGTGAGTCTGTATACACAGTTTGTGTGTGTGTGTGTGTGTGTGTGTGTGTGTGTGTGTGTGTGTGTGTGTGTGTGTGTGTGTGTGTGTGTGTGTGTGTGTGTGTGTGTGTGTGTGTGTGGGTTTTACCGGCTGTGTCTCATCAAGTTTCCGTGAGAAGCCTTAATGAGGATATATTCCACATAGAACAAAACATCCATGAAGTCTTCTCGAGTCATGGACCTGCCATCTGCGTACTTCCACTCATGCTGTAAATACAAACGCAAACATTAAACACAATGACAAATCTATGTTATTACTGCAGTCTATGACCAATGTACCAGACCCTGTTTGTATGGACTGATAGACCTCCCAAAATTAAGTGCCATTAACTTTGATAGTCGGTATTTAATAGGAGAAACTAATTCTATAAAACAAAACTGGTGGATGTGCTAATAGATTTGCACCACAGAGAGCTATCCTGTACAGACCTTTCTTTCTGTTCCATAACAGGCAGATTGTTCCTTCATTTATTTGAAATATTCCACTTTTATCCAAGCGTTCTTACCTCAGTCATGTCGATCTGGTGGCGGGTGAGCGTGCCAATCTGCAGTCCCGGTATGTGCCGTGTCATCAGGATATTACGGTTAGGACCGCCTTTAATGATGACCTGAGGCTCGTAGGACGAAGGACCGGTTTCCTCTCTGGCCTCAAAGTACACAGCATATTTCAACTGTCCACCATATGCTGTGATCTGGAGAAAGATGAAGGGCATTGATTGAAACATTAATAAGACTGCACTGATTGTATAATGTTTCCACTCTGACAAAGTTGGCTTGATTTGAGATAGATGTGTTGAGAAGAGTTGAGAGTTTCCTACCATGGAGCCTCTGAACTGCTCGGGTAGTTTCCAGTAGTACGGTTCAGAGAGAGTTGAGGTGAGCATGTCTGTGTGAGCGATGATCTCCGGATGCTGGAACGTCACTCCTCTCCTCGTCTCCACGGTGTTGGCTTTATCCACCAGAGGGAGCACTGTCTGCTCGGGCCTCAGCGCCAACTGGGACGCACAAAAGCAAACAATATTAAAGGTATTTTATACATAAACATGTGTCCCCTCTGTGTAAAGAGATTCTGAACGTTTTTAATCTTTTTTTGTCCTGATCCATTTATATAAAAACCTGTCTGAAAATTAGCTGAATCAGATTTTTAGCCATTTTATGATGTCATAACGATTTTTTTGGCTTGTGTAACCATTAGCCAATCACCAACCAAGGTAACGGGTTATTTTGTGAGGTAGTACCTTCTAGACACAGCCTTATTTCACCATGTACTTGCCACAGCATTTCAGAAAACACTACAGCATTTCACAAAACACAACAGCATTTCAGAAAACACCACAGCATTTCACATTGGACGGAAAGGGTATTCCTTTAGGGAGAACACTTCTTGTTTATGATTGGACAGAGCCAGCCAGAGAAGCACTGCTGTGATTGGTTGTTTTTGCTGCCAGTCAAGAAATGACGCTTCGTGATTGGTCAACGCCCGACAGCGCAATATGTCCCTACCGGTCCCAACACATCAGCCGTTAGCACACACTCAGAGCTCACATATCTGTTCATAAACTGGACAAAAGTTACACATATACAAAACACAGACTGTCTATGTCATGGCGAATACATTCGCTGCTTTATTTATGTCTGTATGACGTTGTTGTGAGTGTGGACGGAGCAGCTACAGGTTAGTTTAGCCTGATGGATCCGATTCCATTCAGAAAACACGCATTTTAAAAGCTTTTCGCCTGCCGTCTTGTCTGCAGACTTGTTAAAGCGTTAATTCGTGGTTTTTACTAACCGTTATCAGTATGTAGTTGCTTCGGCATCACTTTGAAACATGTATTACAATTAAATCACGGTCAAATATGTTCATTTTGTTGTAGTTGGTATCTCCCATTGGATTTACATGGAGATACGCCCCGCCCCCTCTCCAGCGCGTCTTGTTTGAATGACAGGAGCAAACACAGCCGCGGTGAGACTCGAGCGATTAGAGCGATGCGAATATTGGGTGGTCTACCATAGTATTTACATGGAGATAAGCCCCTTAAAATCCATGAATTAATAAAGCATTAATTCTGTGTTTACTCCTGTCATTCAAACAAGACGCTGGAGAGGGGGCGGGCCGTATCTCCATGTAAATCCTATCGGAATCGGATCGACCAGGCTAAACTAACCTGTAGCTGCTCCGTCCACACTCCCAACAACGTCATCCAGACATAAATAAAGCAGCAACTGTATTCGCCATGACATAGACAGTCTGTGTTTTGTATATGTTTAACTTTTGTCCAGTTTCTGAACAGATATGAGGAGCTGTGAGCTCTGAGTGTGTGCTAACAGCTAATGGCTGATGTGTTGGGCCAATCACGAAGCGTCATTTCTTGACTGGCAGCAAAAACAACCAATCACAGCAGTGCTTCTCTGGCTGGCTCTGTCCAATCACAAACAAGAAGGGTTCTCCCTAAAGGAATACCCTTTCCGTCCAATGTGAAATGCTGCGGTGTTTTCTGAAGTTTTTTCCTTAATGCACTGGGCTATTGTGTTTTCTGAAATGCTGATGGTGTTTTCCTGAACATGGCTGTTGTAGTTTTTCTGAAATGCTGTTGTGTTTTCTGAAATGCTGTGGTGTCTTGCACTTCAGGGCCACCGTACATATCAGGTACATTATGTGAGAGTATACAGGTGTTTAGAATGGTGTTATCATTCATTTGAATACATTTAAAGTGTCATACAATATCAAATACCTGTAAATGAGGTGTAGGAGTCATGTGTGTAGCATCAGTGTATATATATTTTTTGTTAAGTCACACAATCTTCTACTTTCCTCACACACAAATGATACTCCCCCTCCCTCGTACTTTTGAAATGTACAATTGACTTTCCCACGAGGAATGTTATGAATATCCTGTCCCATTATTTGAATATATACATTACATATTCAAACATATTGTTAATAAGTCAACCCCGTGGTAAGTATATTCCAAGTTGACCACACTGCAAAAACTAAGCCTAAAAAAACAAGTAAAATAAATAATAAAATGAGTAATATATTACTTTAATATAAGAAAAATTATCTGCCAACAGAACAAGAAAAATTCACTTGCCAAGACCTTCTTAAAACAAGTAAATATATCTAGCCTAAAAATATCTACATATATCTTAAAACGAGTGTTTTTAAACCAAAAATAAGTACATTTGAATTGATGCAAGGAAGGAATATAATCTTATTATAAGGAAAATGTGCTTGAATTCAGCATATTCTACTGCTATTGTCCCAAAATTCTATTTTATGTTAGGCAACATTTCTTAAATCCAGTGCAGCTTCACTTTAAACAGGTATATTTGTCTAGATACAAGATAAGATTTAAGAATTATTTTCTTAATATGTAGAAAAATCTACTTAAATTCAGCATTCGGTGCTATTCTTAAAATAAGGCTAAATACCAAGAAACGTAGAGACAAAACCTTCAAAAATCTTTAATCCTATCAAGATATAAACTTTGACTGCTTGCATAAAGAAAAATGAGTCTCAAATGATTTCTTTTAATGTTTTTATTGTTTTCAAACTGCGTAGTAAAGGTCAGTCATCAGATATGTCTTTAGAAAAAAAGAGAACATTCTTTCACTGTAAAATACAACACAAGTGAAATTCTCATGACACTTTTGACTCAGCGAACAATTTTCAATAGGACTATAAGTATGAGGGGCCGCTAGGGACATTATTCAGAAATACCGTTTACTTACACATGTGAAACACTCTCACACACACAACTGAAACCAAAATAATTTACAAACATATCTAAAAATCTCTCATATACACATATGAAACGCTCTCACACACATGAAATCCAAAGTTATTCACACACACATGTGAAACGCACGCACTCACACCTGAAACGCTCTCACACACACATGAAATGCACTCACACCTGAAACTCTCTCACACACGAAACGCTCTCCCACAGATATGAAACGCTCTCACACATGAAATGCACTCATATACACATGAAATGCAATTTCAGTATGTTGTGTGAGAGGGATTTCAGTTGAATCTGAAGGCATCTCGGTTGAAAAGGAAGTCGTTTAAAAAAAAAAAACTGCGAAGAAGCGCACATTTCTAAAAGGCGAGATGCCTTCCGTTTCAACTGAAATCCCTCTCACACAACATATTGAAATCGCATTTAATGTGTATATGAGTGCGTTTCATGTGTGTGTAAGAGCGTTTCACATGTGTGTGTGTGTGAGGGCGTTTCAGGTGTATGCGAGTGCGTTTCAGGTGTGTGTGTGAGTACGTTTCACGTGTGTGAGTGCGTTTCATATGTGAATAACTTTGGATGTCATGTGTGTGAGAGCGTTTCATGTGTATGAGAGATTTTTACATATGTTTGTAAATTATTTGGGTTTCAGTTGTGTGTGTGAGAGTGTTTCACATGTGTAAGTGAACGGTATTTCTGAATATTGTCCCTAGCGGCCCCTCATATATAAGTGCCCTAATCACTTATGAACTTTTTCCAGTCGGCCATAGCCTTTTTGTATGAAGTAGTCATGTCATGGTCGTGAATGGCGTCCAAGAGGACTTCTGTCTGCACCACAGACAGGAGTGTTGCAATGCACTTAGGATAGGTGAGGTGAAAGGTGTAATAACATGCCATGAGATACATCACGCTTTCATGAATGTCCTCTTTTGGGAAGATGAGCACGGGCATGGTTCCAATGGCCAGTATACAGTTGGTTTCGCAGATGATGACAACAGGGCTGGAAAGTGGTCGTGTCTGAAGAAAGGTGTTTGGGTCTTCTGCAGACTGACACAAAAACAGACAAAGAAATCGTCACAAAAAGGGAAACAAATATGATCACAACATTTCACTCTTTGTATCGACATGAGAAAATTCTTATACATTTTCTTACCTCAAGGACGTGGAGCAGAGCCTCACTTGCGTGCCTTAACTTCTTGGGTGGGGCCATAGGTGATGGGAACATCTCTGGTAAAGCCTTCATCATGGCAATTGAGTGCTTTACTGTTGAAAAAAAAAGTGTCATTCCGTTTCCTGCAGTCAGTTAATAAACAGACATGGTCAGAGATAATAATCACCTTTGTCAAGCTGCGGAGGCCTCATGAGCTTTTTGAAAACTCCATAAAACTGTGCCCTCTCACAAAAGGTCCCCCACCGGGTCTTAAGTTCCGTTAAGAAGTGGGAGTTGCCTTGATTGAGGACCCGCCGTAGTTCATCCATTAGCTAAAACAACGAGAGAGAAAATATGTAGAAGAAATATTAAAATCTACATTCCAAGGGTTAGTAATTCGTCTGATAACTGAATTTCCAAAAAAAAGATTAATATGTGTATAATGTGATTTAAATGGTCACTTAACAAAAATATGCACATAGAAACATGTGTTTTTTTGCAAATGTATGTCTTATGCACACACTATTTTTAAATACGTATTGTGGACCAATAATACTAACAAAATAATGTTGTGTGTATCAGAAGCACATTTGTGAAATTAGTTATTTTTAAATAAGTGGAGTTTTTATATATCTATGCAGAATACATATTTGTATTCAATAAGCATATTTGAGTCATTCATTTATAAATAATGAGACAGATCTGATTTAATTGTCACACCATTTCTCATTTCAAATTTGGTCTAACGTTATCTGAATTAGGAAGCATAGTTGTACAACATTTGCTTACATGATCCAGTTCTCCAAAGCAAGGATAAGCTTTAAGAATCTTGGAAGGCCTGTCCTGCTCCTTTGTAACATCAGAGTCAATGAAGGCCCTTCTCGCTTGGATTTCGAGGTCCAGGAGCTGAGCAACATCCATCTTGTTCGGTCTGGCCTTAGTTTTATACATCGCCTGTAGAGTCTTATAGTGTCTCGCCTGGGTCTGTGGGCTCTCAGTTTCTGATGCTAGAAAACATAAACCCCACTATTTTCATTTCTGATGTTAAAGTTGAAATGAGACATTAACACACAAACAGCCATAGTGACTGACACAGGGCAAA